TCCGACGCCCAGGCTTCAATCAGTCCTCGGCCCGTCTTGCTGCTTGCGTGGGGAATTATCCTCGCAGCTGCGAAGTTGAACACGTGACCCGTCTCGTAGGTGCGGGCGGCCACTTATGTTCGTGTATGCGCGAACCCAGCGTGCGTTCAGTCTATCCCGTGTCCCAGCATAAAGCGTGTTTTAATACCACCGAAGCCAACCCTGTCGACTTCATTCCAGCCGAAGAAGCCATGCTTGTGAGGACTGAAATAACGGACGATGAGAAACATTCCGTTCGACAACGGGTCACTTCCTTACTGATGACACACCGACCAGCCGAATTTGTGTCGAAGAATGAGGTGAAAACTACTAAAGAACTGAGAACGGACGAACGTATTATCATACTGCCCGCGGATAAGATACGGTCAACGGTCGTCATGAAGTGCGAAGACTACGACGAGAAAGCCAAAGTTCTGCTTGATGACAGAGAATCCTACAGACAAGCACAAAGCTCAGAAGCAGGTGTTCTTCCTATAAATGTCGATTGTTAATCAGTCGGTAACTTGCAACTAATTTGACCTTGTGACTTGCTAACCCATATTCTTCTACTACCGCTCAGAACCGAAAGCTTTCTGACATACCGGCTTCGAGGATTGTAACTCACTTTAGCAAATATCCCTTTCGCGACTACTTTCTATACAAATGCTCAGGCCTGACAAGACTCTATAGAAAAGATACAATTACCTGACAGTCTTGTAAACCAAATACGAATCAGACAGAGTAGTTACCTAGGCCATTGTGTTCTGTTGAGTCAGATGGGGTTGTATACATACGCTTCTCACACATATCGATGACGGTAACTCTACATCTGTCATATGCACTATCGTTAAAGTTAAACGTTGTTGCGATTCTTGGAAATGAATAAGAAACTCAAGTGCAAAAGCCTTCTTTTCTTAATAAAGGGACTAAACTGGCAGCCTTTTTCTTCCTCCATCGTGAACTGAGTGTCGGGGAAAATCGAGTTCAGATTCTCTTTGAAATCCCCAATCCTGTCTCGACAAATGATGACAAATGTGTCATCAACATACCGAATCCACAAACGTGACCGAAAGCCAGTGCCCCCAGTTGTCGTAATACTGATTCTGCAATACGCCCGGAAATGGCGGTCTCATTGATGTTGGTATACGGTTAAATTGAAGGTGAAAGGGATGCTCGATCAGTGCGTCAGGAGTCCAATAGGAAGACTTATTTTCAGCTTCGTGTCCACATCGTTTTACTGCTCTTCTAATAGGGTTTGAATGGTTTAAACTGCAAGAGGTTGCGGTATCGGGGTAAAAAGTGAGGTGACATTAACTCTACTGCTGTCATATGTACTGCTGTTAAAATTACTATTTTTTGCGGTTGCTGGATATGAATAGGGAACTCATAGGCGAAAACCTTGTTTCCTCAATAAAGTCACTAAGGGGAGACTGGAATGGCCATTTATAGCATATTAGCCGTCATCAGCCAACCATACCCAGCCCCGTGGGCAGCGAACCAGTTGCGCTAAGGATTCATTGCCCGGGATTGGATATGGTTGGCTAATTATGGCTAAAAAGCCAAAAATGGTCATCCCCGTCTCTGTTGTCTTTGTCGGTAACATATTTCTGCAAATGTTTCACCATTCGGAGAGCATGCATTTAGAAGCTTCCATACTTACGCACGTATGAAAGCAAACACAAAAATTTAGGCCATTGGAAAGAAATCTAGCAAAAAATTATTAGTAAAAGGCAGTTCTGTACAAGAGAAAAGCTAAACGGGTTTATCAAAATTTTCAATAGGCCTATCAAACTATGGTTAGCGGCAGAGCCAACGGTCAGTTCCGACGTTTGAGCGGTGACATGCTGCGCAGGCGATTAACGGTGCGCTGACGAGAGGCCCTCAAACGTCCGCCTAGATGGCTGCGTGTGAGAGCGGTGCCTTCGCGGACCAGGTTCCTTAGGCGATCCTTTTCCGCCAACGGTGAAATACGGCCAGTAGCGCGCAAATAGTGTACACTGATCCGAGTTAGCCACAGTGTGACGAGGTAACGCAGCGGGGTGAAAACCTTGTAGATGAGGTAAGCCGAAGCCCAGGTACCAGCGGCGCCGCCTGCCAGCTTAAGCATCCAGTCGGGAGCTTGCAGACTCTCCAAGAGAGCGCCGGCATTTAATCCACTGCAATGAAAAAATTGTATAAATAATATTATTGACATTAATTAAGTAGATGTTTATTTTAAGTTAAATTCTATATCACCTAGTGTGGGGAGGAATGTCAGTACACATTTAGGCTTCCACAATTTAGCCTCAAACTTTAAGTTCCAAAAGAATATTGATAAAATGGGTGGAGGAGAATGACTAACGCCGACTGGAGGTCGCAAGTCGATCAGATTATGATAAGCAATTGTTGTCAGGAAGGAGTTCAATAATTGTATATACGTGCACATTAAACTATGGTATATCTCAGTTACTTTGTTGTTGTTTGTTTAAAAAGTACTTGGATATTCGGTCTTTCAATCGGAGCCAGGGATTTTATCATATATTAAAGCTCTAGTCCCCTTCTACTACTTCCAGAGCCATAACTGTGCCGGTTGAGTATAAAGCGTCTGGGGGATTGAGTATACAATGGAACCACGGTTAAGGCGCTTAAGCTGTTCCAGCACAGAGCTCGTCATGTAAAACACTCACCTTGCGAAATATAGCCAATCAAACTGCATTAGTTCATTGATTGGCTGTAGGCGACAAAGGACCCACACCCTGGTGAGCAAGACTCAACGGCAGACACAAGCACACACACACACACACACTGACAACTGAGCGGAATCTCGTCAATCGAAGCAGATTTTCCGCGACTCGTGGCTCGCTTGTTACCTGAAATGCTCGTAGATGGAGTTGCTCATCGCCGGAGACGCTACTGTACTTAGAGCGCCACATTCATCAGGCCAAGTCCCGAAAGCACTATA